CTTGTTTCTGTATCATAAAAAATTGGAGTCATTGGCAGTGGCCCCTACTAACACTTGCCAGCGTCTGGTTGCTTTCGAGTGTTTCTACTTCACTAAATGTTTTGTGGAATTGTTAGCTTGTTGGAAGAACTGCGGGAATCAAAGTGTGGAAGCGCAAGGAACTTTTGCAACTTTATACTCCTGATATACGCGCAGCTGACAATAAATAGTGGCGTGTACCAGGGAAGACGGTGCGATAAAGCGTTTTGCTCAGTCCTATCCAGCAAGCGTCTGCCTGCTAAAAATTCTACTGTTTTTACACTTTCGTGCATGCAAAAGTAGACGATATGTTGTCTGGCTCCTAAACTGCAAAATTTCTCACTAAAAATTTCATGCGCCGATAAGTGAAAGCTGAATTTGAAATCTTAGACGAGGAGCATCCTTCTAAGCCTCAACCTTCCATTTTTCCGGCTTTCCAGCTAGTGGCTTCGCAACAAAATTCGCAAAACTGTCACTTGATGATACATAACATCTCGGCATAATTGGGGGCTGAATTTGAGTTGTGAGGTATCTGCACAAGCAGAACGTGTCTTTATAAAATTTCAGCCTCACCGCTCTTCTGGTTTTTGAGACAGTGATTTTCTCCACCAGAACCTTCGTGGGGCGGCACAGGAGACTCATGCGTACATAAAAGCTGAATTTGATTATGCTGGGTTGCATTCTTCCAAAACTTGAGCTTCCTGTCTTTTGTGGCTTCCGAGACAGTAATTTTTCCCACCGTAACTTTCACTGAGGCCTAATTGAGATCCAGGCTAAACTGAATGCTGATTTTGAATTTAGGTGGTCGCACGTGGACAGGAAATATTCTCGTTAAATTTCAGCTTCCATGATTCTCGGGATAATAATTTTCCCCTCGAAAATTTCACGGGCACGGAAGGGCTGAATTTAAACTTGCGTGGTTTTATATTAAATATTAGTATTTAGGCGTTTTCAGGCGACTTCGTTCGTTGTCTGTGGCATCAAGTGATGCTTTCGCTGGAATA